TTCCTAAATAGGGATGGTTTTCGTGGTATCAGTAGCCAATCTAGACTGTAACATTATACCCCCCCACACAAAAAATAGATAAATAAACAAATGTTGAGGAAAAAATGGCAATGTGGAGTTTGCATGTTCTTCCAGTGCATGCGTGGGTTTCCTCCCACAGTCCAAAGACATGCAGATTAGGTCAACTGGCAACTCTAAATTTCCCATAGGTGTGACTGTGAGTGTGGTGGACTGGCGACCTGGGTGGATTGCCCAGGGTGTACCCCACCTCTTGCCCGAAGATGCTGGGATTGGCTCCAGCTTCCTTGCGACCCAGGTGGATTAAGCGGTATAGATGATGGATAGAACATCTATTACATTCTCGCTGCCCAATGAAAACCACTCAGGCCTTTGTCCACTATTTTACAATCGTGATTTTCTGTAATAGATGGAATTTTCCCATTCTCCTGTCTACTGATAGCATCTGACATATAATTGAACAATGGAACGATGTTTTATGACGTCATCTATTTAATTAGTATTATTACTAGTATTTATGTTGTTTAGTTAACATCTCTATGCATGACAGTGGTTTGTATGGATTACTTTATATCGCTGATTTTAACAACTTAATACTGATAGTCTCACAGTTAGCTAACTAACAACACTGTAAATTGTCAATATAAACCGCCATTAAATGCTTTCTTCTTGACACCGACATTTTTGCCTCCCTGACAACAATCCATGTAAGTCCATTTGAAACATTCAATTTCATTTGAAACCGTGCACTGACGGCTGTTTGAAGATAAGTTTCTATTTGTGGTGCTAATTAAGGGCGTCTCATTAGGCTGTTTTATGTACATTTTGTAAAGTTGTTTGAGAAAATGTGTTTTTTTCACACTCCATTTTTTGCAGATGTGTGTTTTTAATTAGACAGTGTTTATGTATTCCACGTTTGCTTTTTTTTTGCTGTTAATTATTAAATTAAGCTCATGAGTAATAACTAACATTTTTATGCTGCCTATTTCAAACCGGCAGATATCTAATGACCTAAAGAGGGATTTATGCCTCGATCAAGGAACCATCCCAGGAAATTTACCCATAATCTACGGATGTCATACACATGCACCACAGGTGTGTATTAAGACTGAGTAACTATAAGCTTCCTTTATAAGCAGACATTGGGGCAGAGACCTAAATGCTCACAGGACATGTTAGTCTGCCTGAGGGCTGGGTTGGAATACGCTGCTTTAACTGTAGACTCACCATTGTCGTAATTGTTCATGAACTGACGTCAAATCATATTTTTAATAATTTCTATGAATTTGTGACTACTTGATCATCCTGCAGTTAGCTCATTTATTACTAAACATAAATAAGGTCACTATTTCTTCATGTATTCCATTTCCACTGAAATTTCACAAGTAATAAACCGATATAGTAGCACAAACATACTCGTAAGTAGTTCAATCAAATTTCGTTGAAAAATGGGGCTGCACTGCAGCCACAGACCTCCGGTGTTGGGAGTTTGGAAGCAGCTGCCAGCTCTCTGCATGTCGACCAGCTGCTCCCTGCGCTGCAAACAAACACACGAGAGCCGTACCAGGTGTCAACACCGGGGCAAATTCTGACAGACACCTTGATCAAAATGAAATTTTGTACTGGACAAATGTAGCTAAAATACTTTTTTCTTTTCTCAATCAAAACATTTTGCCTCAAACACATCTGTGCATGTACGAACAGGTGGACGGTCCTCGAGCGGAAACAGTGTAACCATAAGTTCCTCCCATTTGCACAGCGCTGTAACTTTTACTCGAGTGGACAGATCCACATTGGCAACCTGGTGTCACACAGGTCTGAGAGTCAGCGCTGTCTCGTCGACCTCGGCGTGGGACAGTTGCCCGGTTTGTATGACTGCACGGAGGCTCAGAGTAAGAACTTCCACATGCTGTGGGACTTCAAACAGGTGATTTTACTGTTTTTTTCAGATGGCATGGCAACTACTCCCCTTATATACATTTAAATCTGCTTAGATGATACATAAATGTATTATTACAGTTTTTCTGAATTGCTAATGCACACTTCCTGAAACCTCCCAAACTTTTCTCAGAACGGTGAACCCAGTTTTCAAACTAGATTCACAAAACCTTCGACTCATCTTGCAAAATCTGCTGGAGGTCACTCATCAAGCCTGTCAGTACATAAACACTACTGAGCAGCCATTACACACTGCAGCAAGAAAAAACATGAAAGTACTACCAATGAACAATGTTGCAGTAACATGTTTACTTTGGATGTGGTCTTTTGCATGTTGAGCTGCAAAATCGGAAACTGGGGAAAAAGAAGAAAAAGTCATCTAGCTAAAATGTTTGTGTACAATTATAACATAGAG